AGCAGTCGCCGCAGCCACAGAATGAGACCATACCAGGCCGGAGGCAAAGCTGCATCAGCAGAGGAGAGACCATGGAAACTAATCATGGCTTTTCACACCAAGTTAAATACAAGTGTTTGTGTTTATATATATATATATATACATATGTATATATATATAAAATTACATAATTGGGCGCCTTACAAATTATATAATAACAGTATTCATTAGATGCGTATTTTTGTACGTTTTGTGCAGCTATAAAATTGGTTTCGTCGATTGAAGTCGTTTGTCTTTCATCCTATTCTAGATGCAGCTTCTTCAAAATAAGCATTTAATTTAAAATGCTACATAGTAACTGCTTTTTTTAAAGTTGTGTGATCGCATGTGTTTTTTTTTATAAGCGATATTACTCCTTGTATTTTCCTGGTCCAAATACATAATAAAATCACTACCTGAAGTCTTATATTTTTCGTGTTCGTTCGATTACCTTCACCGAATCACTTCAACCTTTTCCACGAGCTCAGCAGAACTTAGTATCCCTAGGACACTTTCTTAACGTGATTTCTTCTATTACTTGAAGTGCTGTACAAACGAGTTCTACTATACAACGGACGCGAACGGCCCTTTAAGCCAAGTGCGATTAGGCGTGCGCGTGGATCACTTTTTTTAGCATAGTATGCTTTATCATTTAGCACAATTTTATTTTGAAAAAATACATATCTTGTATGTTTTTACCAATTATTTGCATAGACTGGCTTTTCTAGTAATTAAGATTAACCGAACATGTGTTTCTCGCTAGCAACTAATCAGATTCCGCCAGTGACCTAAACAGCTGACGCAAGCTGAGTCGTGCAGGACGAGCATGCTGCAGCACGCCGCAACAGGAAGTGGGCTCAGCGGAAGTCATCAGTGGCCGAACTGGTTGAGCAGGCAGAGAGCGGCAAAACCAAACTGATAGAAGGCCACCCAATGAAAGGAGTCTCGCGAGGAGTAAACCGCGGAAACATTCGAGTCATTTGAAGACGTTAAGTAAGTTTTGTCGTTCGTCGACCATTTTTCGCCATTAGTGGAGAGAAAGCTCTCTTCGTGAGCACGGGTACGCAGTACCTTCTAAACCCCACCACTATCATACTTCATAAACTAGCAATCATTTCTCCATGTCAAAATGACGCCGAACGAAGGACGCAAAGAGGCGGCCGGTAACCGCTTTTCGTCGGGCCATATGCAGCTTAGGCTAGTGTCAAAGCTGCATCCCATTTTATTGAGATAGGACTCTTATGGCCTAAAATATAGAAGAGTGGTTGCTTTCCCTCTTTCGGCTTTATCGTTCTCTCCTCCTGCAGCTCTCGTTCAAATTTTACCATCCTTCGCTTAGGGGTACCGTCTCGCATAACCCCTTTTACTTTATGAGGACTCAGTTTGTTCACGCGGCACATTCTCAAAAAGTCATTTAAATAGTCAGCCTTTTTGTTGCGGCTCACGATGCGCCTTGAAAAGAAGAAGTAACATTTATGAAGGCTGTACGGCGTCAGGACGCCATAGAACGCAAGGAAGCGAGGAGTCTTGATGAGCGCGCACGATTCTGCGGGGTGCACAGCGCTGCGTAAACTTTCTCAGTGAAATTTTGTATCCTCCCATTGACCCCGCTCCTCAGCAACACTCCGAGTTCCATCTTTCCTGCGGGAGACCTGCTTGTCTGTAAAGCATTCCGGCCGTTTGGCTTTCAGTATAACCTCCTTCCCCATATCCTTAAAGCCCATTGGCCTGCTAGTAGGTATAGTATACCGAGTAATGAACGCGTCACGCAAAAACTGCGCTACAGAGCTCAGTTATCTATCTACCCTCGCCATAGCGTTCAGTTCACCCCCTATTCCGACATACTTGTCGTACCCCACACTGTGTAGAACGTGTTAAATACTCATAAGGGTTAAAACGATCCGGCAATGAGCTTTCCTTAGATAATTTGCAGGTAAAGCATTGTAGGTCCACTGGCACTATTTCGTATTTAGATCTAAATTCATTTTTCTCTAGCCATGGTTCTTCCGCATAGCTTTCACTTTCTAAAGTAGCGTAGCGTAAAAAGCCATTATGGTCTACTAAAGACTGCTTCGAATAACAAATACCATACAGCTTAGAGTGTTTGGATTTAAATCTCACCCATTTTTTTTTTAATTCTTCTCAGGCTGCATGAAACGTTCAACTCGCCAGACTGCACCTATGATTTTCAGGGGCATTAAGGGAAGAACTCGTACCTATCAGTTGACCATGCATGCTTTTGTACATGTTCCTGTGTCATTTTCTCCTTTTTCGTTGTTTGCCAACGAGGTGAGAATTATTCTCAAAAGCGCGGCGTTGACACTTTTACTAAAATTGGTGCTGAGAGGTACATCCTAACTAGCGATAACAAAAATTAATTTATAACTAAAAAGCCATAGCTTTCTCGCGCTTTATCGTTAGAGCCGTGTGTGATATATCCCTATGGATACTGTATCCTTGCGGTAGTAGCTATATTTCAGTAAGATCGTATGCCGAAAGCACCAATTCAGTTTCACGTATGAGCCGGGTCGAAGCACGCAAATATGAGAAAATTAAGTAAATCAACTCTTTTTTTCCGGAAAAGATATTATCTACGTTTGGAATCAGTTTTTAAAATCTTCCATGCACAAAATCAGTCATTGAAGCTTTTCAGTGTTCGCAAAAACATCTGGACATCATTGTCTGACTCTATTCTGCTACTCTTGCGTTTTCTTTTACCAACTTCGTGAAACATTGTTATAATTTGTTTGTTATCTTCTCAGGAACTACCACTCCAATACAACCGTGAACCACTCTGTTGGTTTGTTCGTCACTTATACTCATTTGCCTCCTCTTCATAAGGCAGGTTTAATAGTGCGGCTGCTTGCCCAACTGATCCATACAACGGCAACTACTGGCGTATCTTAGCAATCGCTAAGCCTTGTTTAAAGCTTGAAGAAGACTGGGCCACCAGCTTAAAGGCAGGGCGCACTCCAGAAAAGAAGCCCTTTATCCCAGCTGCAATAGCCTAGAGGGGGCAGTTTTCCGTCGGTTAGACCTACTCTTCTTCTTCTTCGAGTCCTGTAGAGCGTCCTGGACTTGTAAGGGCACGAGGCCTGCTAAGTTCGTGGGGCTAAGCACCGCCAGGGAGTGGTGAAGACAAATAGAGAGCAACAAAAGTGAACGGATCCTGCAAGCAACTACTGCTGTAGTTACTACTCACTGCGAGACAGAAAGAGCAACGGCAAACAGGATTCCTCAGTGAAACTCTCAACTTCCCCCACTTGATTAACCCCGTTTGTCAGCTGTTTATTTTGTCCTTCATGATATGTTTCGATCGTCCGTTCCGACCGGGTATCGGAACGAAGCAAGCATTGCCATTCGGCTGCTTTTCGTTACTTCAAACAGTAAGCAAAGGACTTGCCGCTGTACCACGATATGCCACATGAAAAGGACAACCGTTTACAAACTTCTTCTTAGATTATGGCGGCGAACATTGTACGTGATCATAAAGATATGATTTAGCTAGTTAGACATATCATTGTCGTTGATATCAATCAAGCCCAGTTTCTCTGTCCAATTGCCATATTGCTTATTACGGTAGTTTAGCATGTATCAAATTCAGCATAAAAAGTCCCGTACGAATCGAACTAAAGCAAATGCTTAGACTTCTACGTTTGGCATTCCCTTAGTTAAGCGTTGCTTCATATGGCTGATTTCTTCCATGGCGTGTATACAATCGGTTTCGAACCCTGGATACCACTGAGAACAGATTATCTTTTGTGAGTAGTAGGTATATGGCCTTTCTGGTAGTGGAAGTTAATGTGTATATCCTCTATATACATTCAACTGTACATACATCGGCTGCAGTCACAACAATGTTTTGATGCACGTCGGTGTCGTTTTAGCAGCTCATCCTGAGCTGAGACCAGCATTAGATAAGTTGGCAAACAATTATTTCTTTAATAGAAACTTAAATAAGCATTTAAAAACCATTTGGGGCCCACGGCAGAAACGCCCAGGTCAGCGGCACGTCATTGGAGGATGGGTAAACATTTGTAAATGCCCCACGGCGCCCTCATGGACCGGCCATTGAAGCAACGAACGAACATCCTCGTTACCCACTTCTCTGTCCCTCCTCCCGGCAAGCTAGATCTCAACAGTGTCCCTTACCGTCCCGACGCTTTCCGATTCACCCCTGTCGACCCCTATCCTTTTTTGTAAGCCCCACACAGTTTCTTTTTCTAGCCTTTTCGCGTCTTCTTTCCTTTCGCCCATTTCTGGCCCCCTCCGTTGCCCCGGATTGGGGTCAGACCAGACGAACGTGGTCGTCGCCTGCTACTGTCTTCTGCTATGGTATAGTCTAGTAGATGTTGACAGCGACTGCTGCCAGGACTTGACAGTCCGTTCGTTGGTCTTAGTCTTAGCCCTTGCTTCGGTTCTTCGGTTGGCCTATGTGGCTGCTCCTTCCTTGTGTAATCTTCCGCGCCCATCCGGTCAACATCCGGGACAGCGCAACACCCACAACAGAGCACCCATAGCATGATCAACGAGCCGGGCCAACGCACTTTGGCTTCGTCTGACACCGTGCTCCGCCTGCTTGTTAGTCTCACGAAAACAGCTTGCAATGGCGCTCGCCAGGGCGCGACACGGTCGACTCTTGTTGGCCGGCTGCTGAACGAATCCCCTTTACGGCGGCCGCCGTAGCTGCCGTTGCCTAAGTTGCCGTTACCAGCTTCAAGACCGCCAATACTACTAATACTGCGACCACTATCATTACCATGGCCATCGCCATCGTCACGATGAGTGCTCTAGTCTTCCTTCGTTCGAAGCTGAAGCAGAGGCTAACGCTTAAAACTGTTGAGGTCCGAGGACGAAGTAGAGCGCATCGTACAGGCCGACGGCATGGCCACTAGTAGGCGCCTGGTGCTGCTATCGGCCGGCCTATAGGAAGGACCCTGCAGCGAGTGGTTGGGTTCTTCGGTTGAGCTGTTTGCCTGCCTGCCTGCTTGTTCGCTCGTCCGCTGGCCTGTTGGTTAGCTGTTCCTATGGGGTGGCCAGTATAGCCGGCTGCTGGTTCCTGTGTCCCCTCTCTCAGGGCCGTTGCGGCAAGCTGCGCTCTTCCCCTCGCCCGTCAGGCACTTTCCCAGTGATGGTGGCGAGACGAAGGCTCGGACAGCCGAGGCCGGAGAAGGAGGCTACCGAGGCCGTGTGGAGCTATAGTAGCTGTAGAAGAGGAGGAACGGGTCAAAAGCTTCAAACGAAGAGGATACATCCAACCACTGTTGTAAATGTACGATGATGGTTACTCTTCGATAATGCCGCGCCACTTCTGTTACTAGTACCACTACAATAGTCACTAAGTAGCTCAATATTATGCTAGCAGGTCATGCAGTGCGTAACGTCAAAGCGTAACATAAGTGTATAGAAGACGGCGACGGCAGTGTGCGCAAATTACAGAATTGTGCCTAATGACCCTTTGCTTAGTCAACCCGTTGCCTGAATGGCAGACGGCAATAGTACTGAAGAAATTCGGTTCTTAGAAGCGAATTATATTTGATTCGACATAGCATTGTTTAGGAAATTGGAGTCTGTTTTTTTAACCAGCACTCGGATATCGAGTTTAGCTTGTTTTACTTTTTTCAACGCAGGTCCTTTTAAAACTTGAAGACATGTGGATTTAGACGCCAGGGTCTGCGCAGAGGCTTGACGGTTACCTTTGTGTGTGAGTGTGTCAGTGCTGATGTTCGTGCAATAGTAATCTTGTGGAGCCGCAATGGTGTCTAAGGATACGTTCATCAAATAAATATTTAAAGGCATAGCCTCAATGCAGCCTTGCTATCGGGTTTCGTGACGCATGCCAAGTTAGTTGTTCAGGAAAACAACGAGTGCAGTTTCAAACAAACAACTCTCCTTCGAACTTGATCGAGTGTTCCCGTACGTCACGAGCAGGAAGCGCAACGCATTCGGAGAAAGAGACGTGGTCCTCTCAACCCCTCTTCCCCTCTACGAGACGCCGGTGACAAGCCTAGGCCGCAAGTAGTACGAGCTTATTAGCCAAATAGATAGCTATCCGCGGCTCTGTTCAGGGAACCTAACTAGCACACGCATGCATATATATCAATAAAGGCAAACAGAGGAGATACAAGACCGTGCACTGCCGAAGCAATCAGTCGATTTAATCGACATTGCTCTTCATTCCTTGGGGCAGGTCTCTCAAGACCTCGAGCGTCGAACCTCAAAACTTTTCGTAATTCGCCAAGCCTGGAAAAATTGATTTATATCTGCTCAGCACGCATTGAGTGTTGACCATGAGTTGTATACATGTACAGAGATGGCGTTTCGTAGAACAGAAGTGAATGTAGATGACGCAAGATAACCAACATTTTACAAAGGAAGCGCGCGTTTTTGTCGGCTGTCATGATTAACATGGTGGCAACCGAAGGCGCTGCTGGAAATACGCAACAGGCCAACAAAGGTAAACAGCAATAGTAGCATTCGTAAAAGTAGTCCGCATCAACAACAGTTGGCTAGGGCCTGGCTGTACGGCTGCATCACCTTGTTGGTACGTTTGGCCTTCTCAAGAATATCCGCCTCTCGCAGTTTCGGTCTCTTCATAGCCACATTCAACGGCTGTGCATAATCAACTACAGAAAAGATTTCAGAAGGTTGAACCAACCGCACTCGCTATCTGCGATAGACGCACGACGACGGCTATATTTTTCGATTGAAGGGTTTGCCCTTCTATTCCGTTACCCTCTTCTTCTTTTTCTGCCCGTCCTCTTCTTCCCCCAGCGACTTAGCAACGAATAAAAGACGGTACTGCCTCTTCTACCATCTCCTTGCCGCAGTGACGGGAGCAACCCGGAGAAGCCGCCGTTTTCAAGACGCGATGGCTAAGCAGCGCCGGTCGCGCAGTTCTTCTAGGCAAAGGCATTCGTCCAACAGCGGTGGGGGAACCAACGGGGGAACTCACAATCATTGCGACAGCCACAAACGTGGACGAGGAGCGCAATGCTGTCGCCGATTCACCGCGTTTCTGTTCTCGCACGTCGGCCTGTGCGCGCTAGTTGTCGGTTACGCTGTATTGGGTGCGTTTGCATTCCGCGCGCTAGAGGCACCCCACGAAGTTCAACGTGCCGATGAGGTACAACGGTTAAGGGATGCCACCGTTGACAGACTATGGGAGATAACCGACCGGTATAATGTACTCTACCGAGAAAACTGGACCGTCGAAGTGGGGCGTGAAATGGCCGAGTTTCAGCGAGGACTGATCGAAGCTGTCAAAGACGGTTATGACGGAAGACCTAGTGGGCAGGGCCAACGTTGGACTCTCTCCGGCGCATTTCTCTACTCGCTCACGGTTATTACCACCATAGGTCAGTATAATCATAACACATGTAAACACTTCAAAAGGCAAAAAAAAACAAAGTTAATTATCGCTACAGCTATGTAGATTACTACATAGTAACTCAGTCGGCATTTGAATAACGCTTCTAAAAAGGTCGTCGATACTCTATTATAGCAGAAATTAGGATTCTGAAACCGAAAGAGAAAAGAAAACGAGAAGAAAACGTAGACTCGAGCGGCATACATAGAATAGCCTTTTATCAATTGTGTAGCGCATATTTCATTTGTCCAATCGATTTGCAAAAAAATATCTAGTTGTTCAGACATTGCTACAATTTGTGTGTCAATACTAGACATGGACGATGATGATACACTCCTGCGGCCGTTCGTTCGTCAAAAATAGCGCGTTTCCTTGCCGATATGACGTGTATCGTCAGTACGATCAACGCCATTACCATTTTCCGACTCGCATATGCCGGAAGATGGGCACTTTATATCTCTCATATCCCCCATTTGATTTCGTCCTTTATATCTCTTAGTACCTCGTCTTTTATTGCCATATCTCCTTCTACATCACAATTATTGTCGGTGAAATAATTCTCACCTCAGGTCGGTCGGACCGCTAGCTTCTCAGAGAGCAATATTCAGCTTTTTCATGATTAATCTCGCTTTCTTTAAATTTTACAAAAGACTCCGCGCATTGTAACTGGTGGGCCGATAGGGATGCATGTGAGAAGAAAAGAATGCCGGGCCAAAATGGTGGTGCCGCCGACTCTGAAGCTCCGCTGCTGGCACTGCTCGCGCCGCCAGCATAGCCACGGCCGCTAATATACCCTGACACCCTCAGGAATTCAGGCGTGTAGATTGAATCGTTGAAGGCCTATCTTTGGCCCAAAGCCGGCCTCGCCGCGAAGTGGACGGCGGAGGATACAACGAGCGTATTCGGATATTTAGTGGACCCTGTCGTTGTTCTCACCCGTTCATCCTCTCTGCCTTTTTCTATCTCTCAGTCGAGTTTGATATAAACGAGGACAACGACTATACGAGTACCGTTGCTGCAGCTGCCGTCGCCCGCTGGTTTGGCTGAGAAATCGAACACAACGCGGCCTTCTAACGAATTTACTCGAAAGAGGAGCTACGATTATAGCAACAGCAGCGACACTGCGGCGACACAATAACATCGCAGAAAAGATGTCTTTAACGCGTATTCGTCCGCCATTACCGACACTGCTGATATATGTTGACGCAGTTGCTAATATCGTCTCGCACAGGCAACCGCCGACGAATCACAAATTATGTGTACTACATTTTTATCTCTTGTTGGCCAGCTAAAATTGAGAGTGTGCGTCGCATAGGTTTTTGTCTCTCTCGCTATTTGTACGTTTACGACTGACTGAATATATGAAAACTAGTTGCAGGAAAAGGACAGTAACAATCAGATCATTAGAAGTCCTGGTTGTCAAATAAAACTTCCGAGGACATTAGATAGACCTCTTTTTGCTATAGGACTCAATACTCTTCTACGAAATCAAACCCTCCCAATCGGGTTTATACATATGATGCAATCTGAGGCTATCGTACATGTAGATAACATGAAGAGAAAATCTACTGCTACACAGCTGGAATAAGTTGCTTCCTCGAGAGAACTGATGATAACCATTTGTTAAATTTCATTACTTCCAACTATTCGACTGGGTAGTCCATTCTAAAATGATCACGAAGTTACTGAACCTTAATAATGGCCTTAGGCGTCGAATAGCAGTTGAAAGTTACTGTCCCGCTTAGCATGCAAACGCTATGATTTCGACCCATTTTGCTCACTCAAAAAATGTTTTATTGAACCATACTACTGGATGTCGAATTCGCTTGCGGAAGGTACCCTTGTCAGATATTCTACATGTGATTAAGTAGTAAGACTATGATCGTGTAACAACAAATCCTATTTTAACGATGTTCCCCACGAAACGAAGCATGTGTGCCAATCGGAAGGCAGCAATTACGATTTATGCCTACCAATGACTTATTTGGGTCTGTTGAATCTCGACCCGATCCCTTGTACCGTAACGTTGGTAATACCGATTCTTACCGCAGCTTGAAAAAATAACATCGTCATCGTTTTCTAAGCGTGGCATTGTCCTGACGCAGGCAACAGTGTAAGTTGATCGAGAACGATATTGTCTCTCCTGAGCTCGTTGGAGCAACAACGCTCATTAAGGATTAGAGTTAAGTCACGTCAATCGTGATTATATAATTGAAAATAAGAGAAAAACATTCTTAGTAAATTATATCGGGGCAGTTGAATCAGTGTTCGTATTGATTTCAACTATCGATCACACTAGTGAGAAACGCTAACTAATAATCAATATGGGGGGAAAACCGTGTTCGTCCAACACTAGCACACTAAAAGCAAACGTGTGCTTAAGTTATCATTAAATTAATGTAATTAGTAATAACATTAAACGTGATCTTAGCAGGCGGGAGTTAGACAATGCATTTTTGAAAAAAACGCAGTACTTTACCTGACCGCCTGCTCTTATATAACGCAGCCCTCTAGTAGGTCTATGCGCGCAAACGCAAACTGTGCCGTTCTTATGGCCACACGTTATCTAAGGAAAGTGGGCCTGAAAACACGGAATGCGACCAGATGACTTTATTTAAATCCGCAATGTCTACGCAAAAATTTGCCTCTACACTGTTTGCTTTCGGCAGTTTAGGACTGAGGTTAAGGACAGAGGTCGAATTTTATGAAAGACACTCATTGTAAAATATGATAATAGCTAGACGAGCTGACGAATAATTTTTACACTTTGTCCACAGAGCGTTTAACAAACGTTTTTTCGATTACCGCTTATAAAGGATTAACGAATTGGATCGTTTATCATCATTATTGTTTTTGTTGTTATTTCCCCAATTCTCCTAGAATAGAGCAATTTTCGAAATGGAAATGCTTCAAATAAGGTGTTTGCTAGAGCTGGTATGTCGTCGTTACGTCACGCTTCGATGATCTATCGCCGCCGTCGCAGGCGGTGATATGCTTCTATGTAGCATGGGGATTGATTGGGCGGATAAAACTTTTTTAGGCCAGCTACCATCATATAGAGCATGAGTAATCTACTATCTATTTGCAGCACTTCTGATACGCTACATATGCGCGTGCATGACATCTCGCTGTCGCCCGGATAAATTGCCTAGTTCTCAGATCTACCCATAAATCTGTAGCTTTGCGATTACTCGACGACTGACTGGGTCACTCGTTTATTCACACCGTATATCGATGGGTCGCTCCTGGCACTCGGTTACGAGTTACGACAAACTCTTTTTACGGCTTAGGGAGGTAACCAGGCAGCCATACACCTCGCAAGTGTCAACGAGCGTCGCCATGAACTAATACCCCAGAGCAGTCGATCGCCTCGAGCGTACAAGAGATATATTACCATACGTTTATTTGTTATAAAGACAGAGATGTATTCCATTATTATTACGATGATTATTATTATAGGCTTTGTGACGTGTCCAAATTACCCCTTTTGTTCCCTAGGCTTTTTTTTGTACTTGGCTGCTCTTCATGCGGTGAAAAACACTAGGAATAAACACTTAGGCTTAATCGTGGTTTATACAGAATTTCGAGTCTATTGCTTCGACTATATTATCCTGAGTGTCTCTAGTCTATTCAGGAAAACATGCAGTGAACGACTATACTTTTTATCATCATCACGAAGTGGGTGACACATCGAAGGGTTGGGATTGAGGATGACAATTGTAATTCCCTCGGCAGCAATAGATATAAATTAATCACTCAATAAAATTTAATCGATGCAGGCCAAGCAAACGGTTACATGAGTGACCTGTGTGAGAGAGACGCATGCTTTTTGTAAATTATAATTTTATAAAATATATATAGTACTTCAAACAATTACGGCACATAAAGCCAGACAACTATCACTTCAACTGAGTTCACTTCAACAACAGCGGTCATTGAGTACTTAACGGTGTAGGAATTTTCAAGGTAACAATTGCAGATGAATGAAAACCTAAGTTAACAATGCGAGTCTAAATAGAGACTAGTTAAATTATACTTATTCCTGATGGAACAGATCTATTCTGTGCAGGTGTGCTTACAAACCATTCATCTTTGCAGCATTTCGAGGCTTAATTTACTCAAGAGAATAACGACTGCATTATAAACATTGAACATAAACCTAAGAACACCTGTTTGTAGCAACTGTTATTAGGGTGTTCTCTTATGATCCGTAAAGGTGCTTTGAGAAACGTTCATAAACCGGTTACTCAAGTTCTGTTCTGACTCTGGTTCTTTCTGTCGGAACAGTCGGAGCACAATACCGAGCAACAGGAACAAAGTATCATGGATTATAAGTATACTGGATTAACGAATATTTACATCTGAAAATGTTCTAAAGAATTGCACGAGAAAACTTTATCCTGTCACATAATATTACCTCAAACGCCCAGAGGAACCAAGTTCCTGAAGTGTTTCTAAAATGGGAATACATTAAAGTACAAGTTAATTATGTTTCTGAAAAAAAAAAAAACTATTTTGCATCTCTTCCAGCAATTTATAAGTCTCGACCAAAAACAAAGCTGTACTTTCACAACAATCATAAATTTTATACAAAGGTAGCTTTTAAAGCCTAAATAAAGCTGGGGTTAGTGGGGAGAATGACTACTGTAACTGTAGAGCGTAGCGCGACTTAGCTGCATAGTTCTTTGCCTCGTGTCCTGCCAGTTACTGAGGTCGTTGGAGAATAGGCCAAGCAACCATCTGCAGCACGCTCCAATATCTACTAACTTCCTAGCGAATTTGGGCGGACACGCGCTGTGAAGCCCGCTGTTAAATCGACAACGCGCGTTTTTCATCACCGACACGTGCTTCAGCAGCTTTATTCGCTAATGGAAGTCTTCATGTACATACGTTAGGGCGTGTTTTTGAAATAAGCATCCGTTTTAACTGTATGAGAATGTTATCTCACGGTTGTACGGTAAACCTATTCGTCAATAATACATGATAGCA